GGCCAGGGTGGCTTTGGGGCACAAAGATTCCAGGTGGCTGTTGTGGCTGGGTTGAGGGAGGAGGGCCATGATTGGGATGGGGGCACGTGGGGGCCACTTGCCCATCTCCCTTCCCCCTCTGAAATTCAGTTGGTTCCTACCCATAACGTGGGCCCTGCTCGACTCCGTGTGGAAGCTAACCTCTGCCCCTCCAGATGGGCATGGGGTGGGGGGGCTCAGGCAGGGATCAGAGGCTGGGTGCTAGCTGGGGGCAGGGCACTGGGAAGCCGAGGTTGAGCGCCCCCTCCCCCGCCTGGCCCTCCGCAGTGGGCACGTTCGTGTTCCAGTCCTGGCGCCTGCGTCTCCAGCTCCAGACGCATGTGACTCAGTCCTGCCGGCTTTGCCAAGCCGTCTAGACCCGAGTGTCTCCCTGCGGAGGGGGTCATCCCGCCCTCCATTTCCTCTTCTGCGGCCCGGGAGCCTGAGCCCCGGCCCACGTGCAGCCGCCCCCCTCCCCCCTGCCCCTGCCGCGCAGCTGTCCCCACCCCTCACCCTGCCCGGGCGCGTCGCGGCCTGGGCTCCTGCAGAAGAGGAGCATGAGAGCTTGAGCTTGGATCCCAAAGGCCTCCAGGGGCCCAGCCTGCAGCCCTCCCCACCCCAGTTTTGGAGCCTGGGTCAAGAAGGCAAGTGAAGACCGTGACCATGTCCGCTGGGGCCCCCTCCAGCCCCGTGTTCATTCTCACCCCTGGATCCATGGGGACTAGGAGAGGGCTCATGGGTCCACTTCCTGGCCCGCAGCCCGACTCTGTCCACACCCCTACAAATGCCTGCAAGGTGGATGGACTTCACAGATCCTCTCAGACCCTAGGAGTAGTCTGAGATCTGATCTGGGTCTTAGGCGTGTGAAATGGGCCCTTGCAGGAGATTGTGGCCTGGGAGCTGTTGGCATCCCCTGGGCTCCAAGGGCCCCTCAGCAGCAGGCGGTGAGGCTGGGGCCCTGAAGCAGGAGGCCCAGGGCAGGCCAAGGTTTCCTTAGGTTTCCTGTGAGCAGGGAGCCAGCTGTCCCTGCCTTAGGTTGCCATGGTCCCTGCCCTAGCACAGGGACCAGAAGTGACAGGAAGAGGAGGCCAAGGTCCCAGGACAGCCTCTCCATCCTCATGTGCCGGTAGACTCCCGGTGTCCGCACGAAGGTCTAGAAGGACAGCATTCTAGAATTGGTTGTCATCGGTCAGCTCCTAGATTGATAGTCCCATCCATCCAGTACTTGGGTGGGAGCCTATGAGCCTGCCACAAGCATATGCTCATATCTGTCAGGCCCATGGTGGCAGCTCCGGAGTCCTCTGGACTTAGGAGACTCCAGGAGTGTGTGCTTGGCCAGACAAGTCCCCAGGGCCTTGAGGTGGGTGACTAACAGTGACCACCTGAAGGGATGTCAACCTCACTCTTGTTCCAGGGACCCTTTAGGTCTCATTGCCCTTGTGGTAGTTTGGGGTCTCACATACAAAATCCCTGACTTCCCGGTTTTCCACTCTTCCTCTCATCTGTGTGAAGGTGGCTGGTTTTGAGTGGGCTCCTGGCTGGCACAGATGTTGTGGGCTGGCTGCGAGACCAGGGCACCAGGGTGGATGGTGACCAACAGCTCAGCACGGTAGCTCAGTCAGGGGCAGAAGAGAGAAGTTAGGGCAGGAGGAGGGGGGAGAGGGAGGGGCGGAAAAGGCAGCCTTGACCTTGCCCGTGGAGAGTCTTGGCCTCAGATCATCCTCAGCCTGACCTCATTACCATGTCTCATTTCTCCCTCAGTCCAGTGTCAGGAACTGCTACTTACTTCTCCCATGGACTGGAGCAGCTTCTTGTACCATAACTGAATTCTTCCTCTGAAATGTCACACACACTCACCACTTGCCTTTTCTTTCTTCTTTTTTTTTTTTTTTTTTAAAGATTTTATTTATTTATTTGACGGAGAAAGACACAGCGAGAGAGGAAACACAAGCAGGGGGAGTGGGAGAGGGAGAGGCAGACTCCCTGCTGAGCAGGGAGCCCGATGCGGGACTCGATCCAGGGACTCCAGGATCATGACCTGAGCCGAAGGCAGTCGCTTAACCAACTGAGCCACCCAGGCGCCCCTACCACTTGCCTTTTCTTCAAGAGCCTGCATTTGGTGCTCCCAGGGCATGTGATGAGGAGTCCCTTCATCTCCTCTTCTTACTGGGGAAACTTGGGGCTGAGGAGAGTGGAAGTTGGAGGAAGCCTTTGTCCCTCGAAGGTTCCCCTCTTTCAGGGGCAGGAGTTTATGGGGGAACAAGGCCTTCAGCTCCTGTCAGATGCAGCAGAAGCCAGTCTGCTTTCTCTTCCTTGACGGAGAGTGTAAACCCTTGATCTCCAGCTTCCTTTGATTGGCAATGTCTGCTGGGGGGGGGGGGGGGGGGAGGGGAGCCCTGGTTAAGATTCCCCCTGAACCCTGGGATCTGTTGCTAAAGACAGTCTCAACATTGCAGTGGAGATGCTCTCAGGGACCTTCCTCTTGCCTGATGCCCTGCACAGCTCCCGCCAAGAGCTGCTGCTCCAGGGCAGGGAGGCCGTTGAGTGAAGGCATCTGGTTGGCTGTCCATTTCTGTGCCCACTGCACAAAGTGACGTGCCTCACGTGGCTGGCTGCCTTGGCCTGCACCGCCTGCCAGCCCATCCCTGGTACGGTGGGGCCAGTGCCTGTCAACTGGCCTCAATTTCCAGCCTGTTTTCCAAGTACTGACACATGGCTAAGGCCCTGCTGAGACCCATGGCCAAGTTTCCCCCATGATCAGGAGGTTGGCTCTTGTTGCATGAAGTGCCTCCATCTGCCCAGGGATCCATACTCTCCACTGACCCCCTGTTCCTACCGAATCCCCTCCTAGGGGGACAGATCCTTCAGCCTCATTTTTGGCCCCTCACCCACGCAAGCCTCCTTCACAGAACCCGGGGGCTTTGGGCAGAAATGCCTCTTAGAGGCCTGTCCTCTCCTTCCTCACTGTAGTTACCCACCCTTTCACAGCCTTACCCACCTCCCTGGGCTTACACACCTCCCAAGACAGGGAGTGTTCTCCCTTTCTGGGCAGCCAGCCGGGGTTTAGGCAGTGTCCTCTGGGAGGGGTGCTTCCTTGTGTTGAGCTTGAGTTCAAGTTTCCAGAAGCTTCTATCAGCCGGCTCCTTCTTTCCCCACTCTGTGAGAGGCCCAGCAGTCTCTGTTTCCATCCCAGCCTCCAGCTTTCCAGTGGAGGATGTTTGGGAGGCACCATGATTTAGTGGTGGTGTGCGCAGGTCTTCGGCAGCCATCTCCATGAGCTGAGGGCTGGCCAGCACATCCTCCGTACAGGACGATGGACCCCATGACCTCTCAAGATGGTTTTCTCCCTTCGAGGCCCTGTCAATCCCTCCACGTCCCACCCCATGCCATAGACAGAGCTGCTGAGTTGGGGAAGGACTGGTTAGAGTACTGGCTCCATCGGGCTGGGTGGAGAAGGGGAATTTTCTTCCAGAATACACAGGGGCTTGTTTCTTCCTGATCCTTAGGAGCAGAGGATATGGGGAGGGTGGGGGAGGCCACCACACTGCTGTGGTTTCTCCCGCCAAATTCCCCAGTCCTAGGAAAGATCCACAGAAAAACCCACAAGAATTTGAATGTCTGAGCTGGGGCTGTGATTGAAATGAAATTTTTTAAAAAGAAAGAAAGAAAAACAAAAACAAAAAGAGAAAAAAAAAGATTAAAAAAAACAGCCCAAAGCCCCTACAGCCTTCAGCTGCCAGAAGGGCCCAAGGCAGCAACCATACTGGACAGGGGAAGGGGCCTTATGGTGCTTTGCAAGACCCTTCAGCTCACTTCCAAGGCTCTGTGTCCTCAGTATAGCTTGGAATTACAAACCATTCAGTAGGGAATCAGGTCCCGCCCCACAAGGACAGGCTTGGGTCTTTTTTTTGTTAACCCAGACTCCTGCCCCGTCATCCTGGGACAGAACTGAGAGCCCTTTCCTGTTACTCAGAGGACTGCAGTTGCGTCCTACCAGTTCCCTGGGTCTCCCCGTCTCTAGATTTGCCTCTTGGTCCCTCTTTCTAGGAGGTGGCAGGGCAGGGCACAGAGGAGGGAGAGATTCCCGAGAGGACTGAGCTGGCAGCAGCTGCCTGCCTTGGCTTCCGACTCCCTGGGCACCAGCCACTCTTCAGCTCCTTCCTGCCTCCTCAGATCAGCAGGTCCCAGGGATGGGGGCTTTGGAGGTCTGGAGACAGATGGGTTGTCAGATTTCATGCCAGACTCATTGAGTTTGAGGGCTGTGAGAGATGCAAAGAGATTTGTAAGTGGACAGGGCGGGAAGGAGCCACAGAACCTTCCAGGAAGATGAAAGAGTGGGGGAGGAGGGGGGAAAGTAGCAGAGTCCGGCACAATCACAGTGAACATCTACACAGTGCTTTGTACGTGCCAGGCATTGTCATAGGAATTATTACCTCATTCCATCTTCATAGCAATCCAATGAGGTAAGTGCTCTCGTTTATTCCCCATTAGGTGAGGGCGAGAAGGCACAGAGAGGTTAGGTAACCCGCCCAAAGTCACCCAGGTAGTGAGTAGTGGGGTCGGATTGGAACACAAGGAACTTCCCTCTAACTACAGCTGTGAGTGTGGGAACCGGGAGATAGAGCCCCGCACGGGGAGCCAGGACGCTCAGTCCCAGTTAAGTCCCACCCGCCAGGCGCCTCTCCGTCCTCTAGAGAGCCCGACCGGGGCAGGAGCGCTCTCTCCTGGCGAAGGCTCGCCCCGACGCCCGCTCGGCCGGGGCCGCAAGCAGGCGCGACGCGAGCGAGGGGGCCAAAGAGCGTCCGGCCCGGCTCGCCCGCGCCCCGCCCTTTCCCCGAGGCCTGCCTCCTGGGTGGTGCCCGGGCTCGCGTGGAGCTGCGGCCCAATGAGAAGGCGCGGCGGGCACGGGCGGGGTGGGCGGGCCGGCGCGGGCAGGAGGGTGGGAGGGGCGCGGGGCTTGCGTGTGATTGGCAGCCGGGCCGGCTAGTGAGCCTGGGGCGGGGGCGGGGCGCGGCTCAGAGCGCGAAACATGGCTGGGCTAGGTGTCGGCGTCGGTGGCGGCGGCTACAAGGACGAGGGCGACGAGGGCGACGAGGGCGTGCTCCAGGCGGCCGTGGAGGTGTTCGCGAAGCTAAAGGTGCCGGGGACCCAGGAAGCCCCCTTCCCCGGGGGCAGCGGGGGCCAGGGCAGCGGAGTGGGCAGGGCCTACTGCGGAAGTCGGCGGCGCCACACGCGCGGCCGGTCTTTGAGTTCCCGGCCGCGGCCTATGTCCGGGGTCTGCTCGTTGGGCGGCCTTGGGCCTTCGCGCTTTGCTGTCTCCGTGGTCCGTGCCTGCTAGTTCGGGCCGGCGCCACGCGCGTGCTGCACCTTAACTTACGTTGCAGGAAGTCTGCAGGACCTTGCTGGGCGCACGAGGCAAATGCAGACACGGGGAGGGCACGGGCCCTGGGCTCAGGGAGCTCGCGGGGTCTGGGGGGAGACAGGCAGAGTCAGATGCTCGGGTGGCAGCAGTGAGGAAACCCGCCCTGCCAGGTCAGATAGCCATCCCAGGTGCCACACGAACCGCCGCTGCTCTGCCTCACCCCCCCTTGCCTGTCCCCCATCCCCTTCCCCCTCCCCTCCTTCCTCCTCCGCCCCACCCCCCACCCCCCGCACTCCAGATAGGTGCTATCTGCCTTCTCCCTGACCCTTCCCTGTGGCATAGCTGGGAGCCTGGATCAGAATCTCGGATTCTTGCCAAAGCCTCTAGTTGCTACTAGGTTAAACTGCTACACGAGGCTAGAGCGGGAGTACTTAAAGGAGGTGGGGTGACTCTGGGCAAGATGGAGGGAGAGCACTGCCAGGAGGCGGTGGGGGTTGGGGAGCCCGTGTGTGCTAACCAAGCCTGGTGTGTGCTTGGTGGGTAGTAAATGTGTGTGAAGAGAGGAGCATTACAACCCTTAAGTCCTACTCGATTTCTGAAGCTTCCTGGTTTTCCTTTCCTTGCTTAGGCTCTCAACTGCCCGGTCCTTGAGGGTCTTTATATCACAGAACCTAAGACCATTCAGGAACTGCTGTGTAGTCCTTCGAAGTACCGCTTGGAGATCCTGGAGTGGATGTGTGTTCGGTAACATCTTTGTTTCTTCCTCCCCATCCTTGGGGTACACCAGGCACCACTCAGCCCACCTGGGAAAGATAGGCGTTTGATATTTTTGTAAGTAGTGGTACTCCCAGATGGCTCCATACCCTACTCCAGGTCACCGTGAGAACAGCTGTTTGGGTAAGAAGTGCCAGCCATGGAAACCATGCTCAAGTTTGCCTTGAAAGTGCTGCCCCCACCCCCCATGCCAGTGCTTTAGCTGGTCTGTTTGCCGCCTCAGCTAAAGTGCTGAGCTGGGCTTCTGAGTGTTCTCCTTGCTTTACTAGTTTCAGAGCTGGCAGGGGCCGCGATCCTTTCAATCTCTGACTGGACTTGTGAACTCTCTTGCATCTTGCCATTGAGGAGTGACAAGCAGGGCCAAGACCCTGTTTCCCAGTCCTTCAGGTCAAGGAGTGCCCTGGTGGGTGTGCCTGGCTCTGTGCAAGGGAAGCAAAGCCTATCCAGATGGCAAAGGGAAAGATCCAGAAAGTCCCAAGGAATGTCTGTTCCTTGTGAGCAGCAGCCCATGAGCTGAGCATCTGTCTCAAGGCTACAGTGGGGAAGGCTTGACCAAGCCTCTCATGGAGCACAGGCTCCTGTGTTGTTGGGCATGACCCCCAGGGCCCTCCCTGCAGTGGCCATGGTCGGTTGGTACAGGCGTCTCTCAGAAGGCCAGGTCTGGGCCTGTTCCTCTTCAGCCTCGCCTCTCTGCCCCTTGCAGCTCAGGAAGATGCCTGGGCAGGAGCCTGGTGGTGGAGCAGCGAGGATGCGGCCTGCACCCAGCTGGTGTACCTGCCAGGCCATGGGACACCAGCAGGCCTGGCCCTGGGCCGGGTGTCCTACGAATGGCTGGGAGGGTGGGGAGGCATTTTCATGTTTGAGCCTCTGTATTTCCAGCAGCCTGTCCTCCAGTCCCTCCCCCAGGTCCACCCCACGCCTCTGCTCAGAGCGCTCTTGTACCCTTTTGCTCTCCCTCCTGAAAGCACTGTCAGGTCTCTGAATAACCTTCAAAGACCCAGCTCACATGTCGCAGCTCTTTTTTAAAAGTCTCCAGCTCCCAGGGCAAAACATGTCCCTCTTTGCCCTCAGATACCCACAACCCTTTGAGCACACCCCCTCCCAGAGCTCTCAGCCCGTTGGGTCTGTCTTGGCCTGCTGTCCTGTCTGGGAGCTGCTGAAGGGCATGTACCAGGCAGGACTCGTGTGTCAGCCCCAGGCTGCTGCACAGTGTTGGACATACTTGAAATGTGCTCCAGGCTGTTGGATGCTAAGCAGGTGCATGGACACATGCACACCCATGTATCATTCCAGGCGCCTCAGGCATGGATGGGTGACCTCAAGGGGTGGGGCTCTAGCAGCTGCAAAAGGCCTAGGCATGAATCCCAGTGGCGGGCATACCTCTGCAGTCTGAATGTTATGCATGTTGGCACAGAGGAGGTGGCACTTGATTCGGGAGGGTGGGTGCTCATTTCAACCGGAGCGAGGAATCAAGGTGTGGGAAGGAGAGCTGGGCTGCAGTGGCCCCAACAGCAGCTTGGGGCAGCTCCTGCAGAGCCTTGCAAGCCACGTGAGGGCCTTTCCACCTGATGCTCTAGGCAGGGCAAGCATGGGACCAGGGAAGCAACATACTCAAGTTGGCATTTTGGCAAGGTGACTCAGGTTCTGTGGTGGATGGATTTGGAGGGGAGATGGTGGAGGCAGGGAGACCGATATGGAGACTCTTGGAACAGCCCCAGGAAAAGATGGCAGGAGCCTGCCTTGGAACGACAGGTGGCTCACATGATGGCCACTGCCAGCCCTGGAAGGACCGGTGCATGGTCCAGGAGTCTGGGAGGAGAGGCAGTAGTGGGGATGGCCTGGGCTAGTGCAGGGATCTCAAGTGTTCCCCCAGGAGGAGGGGTGCCACAGCCATGTCTTGGAGAGGCTCTCATGGGAGGGACCCCAGATTTGCCTGGCTTAGGCTGATGCTGGGGACTGGGGCAGCCTGCTGGGTGGGAGGGATGGGTGGGAGTCTGTGGGTACATTCCTCAAATGCTTTAAGTACTTTTATAAATACAAGCAGCTGAATTCTTTGAAAGAATGGACAGGGAACGTACAGTTGCTTCTTATGATCCCGAGCTGGCAAAAGGCCATAGGCCTTTCAAGGTCCCGAAAAGAGGATTGGATAGAGTTCAGCTTCTCCCACATTTCATATTGGCTTTCTTTGCACATGGCTTCACCACTTCAGCCCTCGATTAGGGTCACCTTGTCCACCCTGCTCTGGGTGGAATCTGGAAGCCGTACCTGGTGTTGGCCTTGGGGCTCAGCATGCTGGCTCTGGGTGACCCATGTGCCAGGCTGGTCCTCGGTGTGGGGGCAGGGCAGAGCTGCAGGGCCCCCTGGGTTGCTGAATTCAAGGCACCTGGGTTTCCTTGACTCCTGAAGAACTATACTTGCTCTCAAGGCCTTGAGTGCCTTTAGTTTCTGCCTTGCTGCCTCAGGAAGATCAACTTTGATGAAAGCCCTTTCTGAGTGAGGTCACTTAGGCTTTTGTGGATTTGTTCTTTAGTGTGTTGAAGTGGTTTGCTGTGTCCAGCCTGATGGATTGCTGCGTGCTCTCTGCTCCTTGGCGCCTTGTAAGTGGGGACGTTGCCCAGCAACCAGGCCCAGGGCCCATCCTCCTAGCATTTCACATGGTAGGGGCTCCTTCTGCCCCATCCCTCTTTGGCAGAAGAGCTGGTTGCCTTCATGAGTCACGAAGACAGGCGATGCAGCTGAGGCCCCCTCTCCACTGTAGTCCTGCAGTGTGGGGCCTGGGACCTCAGGTTCAGGATGGCCCTGCCAGCTCCCAGGGCCCCAGTACGGGCAGGGCAGGTGTGGCCTGGGAGGCAGGCATTCATTTAGAGGCATGGTTTGGGGTAGGAGAAGTGAGCCCTCTCCATGGAACAGCTACTGTGCCCTTTTCTAGCATGCTAAGTCAGCAGGTCCCTAGGGCTGGCAGCCCTCCACACCATGATGGCAGAGTAGAGTCCTGGCCCTCACTGTCCTGTGGAAAGAGCCTCTTACCTTTATGTAGGGAGGACCTGCCCTGGCAGCCAGCTGCTGAGGCTCCCTGGCAAGCAGGCGGCAGTCTCAGCCCCCAGAATGATGCTATGCTAGGCCTGGAGCTCACGTCTGAGGGTGTAGTGCTCAGGCTGACGCCTGCTCATGGTGGAGACCTCCTGGGGGGGCTGTCAGGGTATTGTAGCCCTTATTGCCTTTGGATGTGGTCTGTGTCTGGAAACAGTTTTGCCCATCAGCTCACTGTCTTAAGGCAAGATGCTTATGAGTGGCCACTGTCCCATTTATCCTGATATCGCCGAGGCTGGGGCTCCGCTGGACCTGGGTGGGGGGCAGCTGGGATTGCTGTCTCTCAATCCAGGAGGCTGGAGCTGTGATCCCAGAGCCTATCACACTAGGAGCCCCTAAATGGTTTAAAGCTGTGACCTGGAGTAGGATAATCTCACAATGATTTAAGCTTTTCTAAAAAGAGAAAATGTCCTTCTTTTGAAAGCGCTAAGCATGGACATTTACTAATGGCAGATTATTCCACGGCAAGAGGCCGTGGTCGTTTATTTGTTAATACACACTGGTTGCCTTTTTTGTGCTGGCCTCCATGGCATTAGGCCCCAAAAGTATAGAATGGAAAGTTATCTCCTGGCCTCAGCAAGCCTGCAGCCTGGGAGGTGAGAGCCCGGTGGGAGGACAGTGCCCAGGTTCTCCTGTGACGGAGGGATGCCAAAGTGTCTGTGGGCATACCTGGCCCTTCCCCAGCTTCCCTGGGGAGGCGATGTCAGCCATGGGCTTCTTGGGATGAGTCAGCCAGTGTGCTTGGGCCAGGTGGGAAGAAAGTACTCCAGGCCGAGAAGAGCAGACGCACATGTGTGCAGAGAGGTGTGAGAGGACACCCAGGCAGGGCCTGCAAGGGTGCTCGAGCAGGAAGGGCCTTGGTGGACATTCTTCAAACAAACCTGCACCATGGTTGAGAGAAAAGCCAGCCCAGTGGTTCCTTCTGAGAAAGAGCTTAGAGCTCTGAGGAATTCAGGATTTTCCTCTTGGGCAGTCATTTTGTTTTTTTATTGTGAGAATTTAAATATTTTATTTATTTATTTGAGAGAGAGAGAGAGTGCACGTGAGAGAGAGAACACGAGCGGGGGGAGGGGCAGAGGGAGAGGGAGAAGCAGGCTCCCTGCTGAGCAGGGAGGCTGCCAGCATGGGACTGGATCCCAGGACCCGGGGATCATGACCTGAGCCGAAGGCAGACACTTAACTGACTGAGCCACCCAGGCGCCCTATCGTGAGAATTTAAATTTCAGTATTCAGATTCACATTTCTGAGGTATACTTTCAGAAATATTTTGTGGTTTTCTTCCCTAATAATTTATGGAGTTGAAATTCACATCACATAAAATTATCTATCTGAAGTGAACATTTCAGTGGTATTTAGCACTTGCACAAGTAATTCACTTTTTCAGAGCATGTGTAAGGAGGGGTCATGAGGGGGCCTCTGCTGCCTGCTCAGGACTGACCAGTTTTGCTCTTTCCCTACAGGGTCTATCCCTCCTGGCAGGACAAGTTCAGCTCGCTAAAGGGGGCCCCAGCTGAGGTGAAGATCCAAGGTGGGTCTGTGTTACAGGAGTTTGGAGTTGGGTGGTGGTTTCTGGATAATTCTGAGCTGGTGCATGGCCTCCTTGGCAAGTTGCACTGGATTTCCCATTGGCTTGTGTTTACTTCTGGCTGGTGCACACCCTGGAGATCTTGCCAGAGCCTTCTAGAATCAGGGCATGCCCTACTACACACTTACACACTATGCATGGGCAAAGGGGATGGTTCCTCTTATAGGGGCATGTGAATGAGATCGAGAACGTGTCACTCTGTCCAGCCCATCCACCAAAGCACTGGAGGCAGAGACTGGTTCTTGCCGATGCTTCTGGTGGTTCTGTCCCCATCTTCCTGCTTCCTGCTGTGTTTGCGTTGGGCAGCTCTCCGTAGGGGCTTGTCTTGTAATGGCTTCTTTTCGATCCTTTGTTGGCAGAAACTGTCCTTAATCTGGTAATGAACATTAGGCAAAGGGGAGTAAATTACAGTCCTCACTACGGTGTCTCTAAAAGTCAAATTTTCCGTGGGCCTGCATTTGGCTCAGCTATTCCAGGGTGGGTGACCTGGACCCTGGAGCTCCAGTGCAGGCCCCAGCTCTCACTGCCAAATGAATTATCCAGGGACACTTGTCCCCGAGGCTGAAATGGGCCAGAAGAATAGGGTGTTGTGTTTTGGAGGCTGCAGGACTGGCCTGTGGGCCGGCCTGGGCTGCATAGAAGTGCTCCCCCTCTCCCCAGTGTGTTATGTCTGGCACTTTCCTGCTGATGGGACCATGTAAAGGCCAGGTGAACCATCAGACTGCATCTGAATTCTTTAACACACACCCACACACAGATGCCAACCCTGCCCTTAGCCCAGCCAAAGCCTTGACCTTGCCATTCCCAGCCTTAGTTTCTTCTTCTGTAAAGCGGGGGTGATAACCTGAGCCTTGCCCACCTCATGGGAGCGTGCTGAGTGTCAGAGCAGGTGGTAGACATGAGTGCTTGTCGAAGGGTATAATCCTCCAAAGAGGATTAGGAGAATTCCTGAATTCATTTGAGCGGTATTTGTGGAGTGTCCCCTACGCACCTGGCATCGTTTTGGGTGCTGGCTGTGCGGCGGCGAATGGTGCTGCTCACATGGCACTCATGTGGCGGCTGAGAGAGACAGGTGATAAATGAAGGCAGCGAAATTCTGTGTTGGATGGTGACAAGTGCCATAAACCAAGCCAAGTGAGGGCAAAGTGGTACATGGGTGGGTTGGGAGAAGGGTGGTACTGTTGATTAAGATCACTGGGGAAAGCCTGTCTTTTAAACACAGACTTGCAGGAAGGGAGGAAGCGAGCCAGGCAGATATCAGGAAGACTAGTGTTCAGGGCAAAGGAACAGCAAGTGCAAAGGACCTGAGGTAGGCTTGCATGTGCCTTGCAGCTGTGAGGAGTACCAGGGAGGCCCAGGTGGCTGGTGCAGGGTGGAGAGCAAGGGGAGAGTGGTGAAGGCAGAGAGGCATCGGGGCTGGCCAGATCAGGCCATGGAAGGACAGCTTTTATTCTGAGGAAAGCTGTGGCCTGACTTTGGGTTTAACAGGGTCCCTAAGGCCACTGAACTGAGAACAGAGGCCTGGGCAGAGGCAGGGAGACCACTGGAAGGCTCTTGCAGTGATGCAGGCAAGAGATGGGAGGGGGGCAGTGAAAGTGGAGTGTTGGCCAGATCCTGGACTTACCGTGAAGGGAGGGTTGACCAGACTTACTAAGACTTGGGTATGGGCTAAGCAGGAGAGGAGCCGTGGAAGACACAAGGATTTGGGGTTAGGGTTGTGGGCAGTGGGCATGCTTGGGGGTATAATTGGTATTCGTACAGTGTTTCCAGGGTTACTAATGCTTTTGCATCGATGTTCTACTTCTTGCAAACCTTCCAAAGCAGATGCCAGAGTTATGCGCTAGGTCGGGGATGCAGAGCTGACATTGGCCCCAGGCTTTCTAGCTCCAAGTCCTGGCCTTTCTCGATATATCAGATGGTTACTCACATGTGGCCGGGCAGTCCCTGTACCATGCAGTGACTCAGTTTCCCAGTCTGTAAAATGGAGCTGCAGCCCACCTCCTAGAGTTGCCAGCAAGGTGAAGGGAGATGTTGATAAAGGCCTGTAGGAAATTGACACATGTGAGCCATGGTTCCTTTTGCTTTGGCCTGGCAAGTTCTCTGAAAGGGTGGCACACAGCAACTTTAGAAGGTTCCCTGAGCTCTGTGTCTGTTCCTCAAGTGGCTGGCTGGCTTCTGCTAGAAGCCAGAGTTCCTTATATGGAAGAACATCAGATGTGACCCCTTATTTCAGTGCAGGAAACTGATGCCCACAGAGGTGTAAGTCACACAGCAAGAGGCAGTCCTGGGCATGTTGTCCCCCTGCCTCCTTGTCTACCCAGGCCTTCTGGGCCCAGCGTGGCCTCCTGGGCACTGGCCTGTCAATGCCAGAGCAGAAGCACTCTCCCCAGAGCAGCACTCGGGCACTCTGCACGTTTGGGCACTCCTGGGTGCATGGCGTCCCCTCCTGTTTGGGTGCGGGCGTCTCCAGTAACAGGACCCTTGTGTTCTGACAGAGATGGTGAAACTAGGCCATGAGCTGATGCTGTGTGGGCTGGATGACCAGGAGCTCCTGAAGGTAAGAGAGGGTCCTCTCTGTTCCCGCAGGCTGGGGGCCTCAGTGAGGCTTGGTTAGGGGTGGGAGGGGTTTCTTTCCCCAGGCCTTTGCTCCTCAGGCTAGGGAGCCAGCATCCCCAGCCACTGCTCCTAAGCCCCCTGGGCCAGGAATCTATAGGATTCCCTTGCATAGACTCTAGCCATCCCTAGGGCCAAGATGGGGAACACAACTGAGGAGGCTGGAGGCAGAGCTCTGGTTATGGTGACCGAAAGGACAGAGCACATCCTGTCCTCGGTTGAAGACTTCATTCCCACTGGCACTGGGGGTAAGTACTTTATATGCCAACTAGTAGTCGCACTCACCTGTGGCAGTAGGTACTTGTCCTGGTCCCATTTCACAACTTGCTCTAGGTCACCGGGTGACAGAGTCGGGCCTCAAACCCAGGCCCCAGTCCCAGGCCCATGCACTTTCCCTGACTAGCTGCCCTCCTGCAGCTTTCTTTACAGAGGTGGCCCTAATCCATGCCCACATCACTCAAAGAAACCCTACCCCTGCCCTTAAAATCTTGTCAAGCTTTTGAAATAATTATTTTCACGTTTTGGCTATTATAAATAATGCTATGAATGTCACTGTATACGTTTTTAACTGAAGACATGTTTTCGGTTTTCTTGGGTATATAGCTAAAAGTGGAATCGATAGGTCAGTGTAGTAACTGTACATTTAGGTTTTTGAGGAACTATGTGCCAAACTTTTCCACAGTGACTGTACCATTTTACATTCCCACCAGCAGTTTCAAGTTTCTCCACATCCTCACCAACATCTGTTTATCTTTTTGATTGCAGCCATCCTGGTGGGTGGGAAGGGCTATCTCGTTGTGGTTTTGATTTGCATTTCCCTGTTGACTAATGACGTTGGGTATCTTTTCATGTGCTTATTGGCTATCTGTAGATCTTCTTTAGAGAAATGTCTGTATTTGGTTCTTTTGCCCACTTTTTAATTGGGTTATTTGTCGTTGATTGTTGAGTTGTAAGAATTCTTTTTATATTCTGGATACAAGCCATGTCAGATATTTGATTTTTTAAAAAAATATTTTATTTATCTATTTGACGGAGCAAGAGAGCACAAGCAGGGAGAGCAGCAGGCAGAGGGAGAGGGAGAAGCAGACTCCCGGCTGAGCAGGGAGCCCGATGCGGGGCTCGATCCCAGGACCCTGGGATCATGACCTGAGCCGAAGGCAGACACGTAACAGCTGAGCCACTCAGGCGCCCCCACTCCACATCTTCTTTATCCATTCATCTGTGGTTGGACAGCCGGGCTCTTTCCGTAGTTTGGCTATTGTGGACATTGCTGCTATAAACATTGGGGTGCATGTGGCCCTTCACATCACTGTTTGTATCCTTTGGATAAATACCTAGTGCTGCAATTGTGGGTTGTAGGGTAGTTCTATTTTTAATTTTTTGAGGAACCTCCATGCTGTTTTCCAGAGTGGCTGTACCAGCTTGCATTCCCACCAACAGTTAAGAGGGTTCGCCTTTCTCCACATCCTTCTCCAACATTTGTTGTTTCCTGACTTGTTCATTTTAGCCATTCTGACTGGTGTGAGGTGGTGTCTCATTGTGGTTTTGATTTGTATTTGGATAAAGAAGATGCCCAGTGATGTTAAGCATTTTCTCATGTGTCTGTTGGCCATTTATATGTCTTCTTTGGAGAAATGTCTGTTCATGTTTTCTGCCTATTTCTTGACTGGATTATTTTTGTTTAGGGTGTTGAGTTTGATAAGTTCTTTATAGATTTTGGATACTAGCCCTTTATCTGATAAGACATTTGCAAATATCTTCTCCCACTATGTCAGTTGTCCTTTGGTTTTTGTCCACTGTTTCCTTTGCTCTGCAAAAGCTTTTTATCTTGACAAAGTCCCAATAGTTCATTTTTGCCTTTGTTTCCCTTGCCTCTGGAGACGTGTCTAGCAAGACGTTGCTGTGGCCGAGGTCATAGAGGTTGCTGCCTGTGTTCTCCTTTAAGATTTTGCTGGATTCCTGTCTCACATTTAGGTCTTTCATCCATTTTGAGTCTGTTTTTGTGTATGGTGTAAGGAAATGGTCCAGTTTCATTCTTCTGCATGTGGCTGTCCAATTTTCCCAACACCGCTTGTGGAAGAGACTATCTTTTCCATTGGACATTCTTTCCTGCTTTGTCAAAGATTAGTTGACCATAGAGTTGAGAGTCCATTTCTGGTCTCTCTGTTCTGTTCCATTGAGCTATGTGTCTGTTTTTGTGCCAGTACCATACTGTCTTGATGATGACAGCTTTGTAATTGAGCTGGAAGTCCGGAATTGTGATGCCTCCAGTTTTGGTTTTCTTTTTTTAACATTCCTTTGGCTATTCAGGGTCTTTTCTGGTTCCATACAAATTTTAGGATTGTTTGTTCCAGCTCTGTGAAAAATGCTGCTGTTATTTTGATAGGGATTGCATTGGATGTGTAGATTGCTGTGCGTAGTTATAGACATTTTAATATTTGTTCTTCCAATCCATGAGCATGGAATGCTTTTCTTTATGTCTTCCTCAGTTTCTTTCATCAGTGTTCTATAGTTTTCAGAGTACATGGTCTTTTAACCTCTTTGGTTAGGTTTATTCCTAGGTATCTTATGGGTTTTGGTGCAATTGAAAATGGATTGATTTCTTCTCTTTCTGCTGCTTCATTGTTAGTGTATAGAAATGCAACAGACTTCTGTGCATTGATTTTATATCCTGTGACTTTGCTGAATTCCTGTATCAGTTCTAGCAATTTTTTGGTGGAGTCTCTTGGGTTGTCTACATAGCGTATCATGTCGTCTGCAGAGAGTGAAAGTTTGACTTTTTCTTTGCTGATTTGGATGCCTTTTATTTCTTTTTGTTGTCTGATTGCTGAGGCTAGGACTTCCAGTACTATGTTGAACAATAGTGGTGAGAGTGGACATCCCTGTATGTTCCTGACCTTAGGGGGAAAGCTCTGTTTTTCCCTGTTGAGAATGATATTCTCTGTGGGTCTTTCATATATGGCTTTTATGATGTTGAGGTATGTACCCTCTATCCTTACACGGCGGAGGGTTTTTATCAAGAAAGGATGCTGTATTTTGTCAGATGCTTTTTTTGCATCTATTGAGAGGATCATATGGTTCTTATCCTTTCTTTTATTAATGTGGTATATCACATTGATTGATTTGCAGATGTCGAACCACCCTGCAGCCCAGGAATAAATCCCACTTGGTTGTGGTGAATAATCCTTTTGATGTACTGTTGAATCCTATTAGCTAGTATCTTGGGGAGAATTTTTGCAACCATGTTCATCAGGGATATTGGTCTGTAATTCTCCTTTTTAGTGGGGTCTTTGGTTTTGGGATCAAGGTAATACTGGCCTCATAGAATGAGTTTTGAAGTTTCCCTTCCATTTCTATTTTTTGAAACAGTTTCAGAAGAATAGGTATTAATTCTTCTTTAAATGTTTGGTAGAATTTCCCTCGAAAGCCATCCAGCCCTGGATTCTTGTTTGTTGGGAGATTTTTGATTACTGATACAATTTCTTTGCTGGTTATAGGTCTGTTCAGGTTTTCTATTTCTTCCTGTTTTAGTTTTGATAGTTTATATGTTTCTAGGAATTTATCCATTTCTTCCAGATTGCCTAATTTGTTGGCATATAATTGCTCATAATATGTCCTTATAATTGTTTGTATTTCCTTGGTGTTGGTTGTGATCTCTCCTCTTTCATTCATGATTTTATTTATTTGGGTCCTTTCTCTTTTCTTTTTGATAAGTCTGGCCAGGTGTTTCTCAATCTTACTAATTCTTTCAAAGAACCAGCTCCTAGTTTTGTTGATCTGTTCTGCTGGGTTTTTTTTTTATTTCTATGTCACTGATTTCTACTCTAATCTTTATTATTTCTCTTCTCCTACTGGATTTAGGCTTTATTTACTATTCTTTTTCCAGCTCCTTTAGGTGTAAGGTTAGGTTGTGTAGTTAGAGACTTTTCTTGCTTCTTGAGGAAGGCCTGTATTGCTATATGCTTCACTCTTAGGACCACTTTGCTGCATCCCCAAAGTTCTGAACTATTGTGTTTTCATTTTCATTTCTTTCATATATTTTTAAAACTCTTCTTTAATTTCCTGGTTGTCCCATTCATTCTTTCGTAGGATGTTCTTAACCTCCATGTATTTGTATTTTGAATAAATTTCCAAATTTCTTTTTGTGGTTGACTCTTTCGTAGGATGTTCTTAACCTCCATGTATTTGTATTTTGAAGAAATTTCCAAATTTCTTCTTGTGGTTGACTCAAGTTTCATAGCATTGTGGTGGTCTTAAAATATGCATGGTATGATCTCAGTCTTTTTGTACCGGCTGAGACCTGATTTGTGACCCAATATGTGATCTGTTCTGGAGAATGTTCCATGTGCACTCGAAAAGAATGTGTATTCTGCTGCTTTAGAATAAAATACTCTGAATATATCTGTTAAGTCCATCTGGTCCAATGTGTCATTCAAAGCCCTTGTTTTCTTGTTGATCTGTTTAGATGATCTGTCTATTGTTGTGAATGGGGTGTTAAAGTCCCCTACTATTATTGTATTATTATCAATGAGTTTCTTTTATTTTGTTATTAATTGGTTTATATATTTGGCTGCTCCCATGTTAGGGGCATCAATATTTACAATTGTTAGATATTCTTGTTGGATAGACCCCTTTATTGTGATGTAGTGTCCTTCTTCATCTCTTATTATAGTCTCTGGTTCAAAATCTAGTTTGTCTGGTATAAGGATGGCTACTCCAGCTTTCTTTTGATGTCCATTAACATGGTAAATGGTTCTCCACTCCCTCACTTTCAATCTGGAGGTGTCTCTGGGTCTAAAATGAGTTTCTTGTAAGCAGCATATCAATGGGTCTTGTTTTTTTTTTGTCCTTTCTGATGCCTTATGTCTTTTGATTGGAGTATTTAGTCCATTTACATTCAGAGTAATTATTGAAAGATAGGAATTTAGTGCCATTGTATTACCT